AATGACCACAGAGGACCTCACAGTGAAGTGGCACCTGTGGATCAGAGTTCCTAAGGTCGTAGGGGGTCAGCAGATAACAAGGAGAGGAACAAGCATTCGAAGTGGTGACGAGAGAGAAAATGTAGAGGCCCAAACACTGAGTAGGTGTTCAGGACAGAATGAGCAAACACGGGGGCTGGAAAATACAGGAGATAGAACTGGAAAAATAGTTATAACAATTCATTTGTATGCAGGAGAGACTCAAATGTTTGTTAATCAAAGTGATTGGAGGCCAGAATGAGCAGGAAAGTGATTTGAATGGCTGAAGTTTTTAAGACCCAAACTTGGTCCTACACTAAGGTGAGAGTTGCGGCCAGAAGGCAATTAAGTGGTGCTCCGGGCATAAGAAATGATAGCTGAAGTAAGATGGTGGCCATGTGATGAGATCAGAAGGAAAGGGATGAGTTGATTCTAAAGAATTGTAGGGGTGGAAAGGTGTGCTATCTTTCTCAGACAATGAAGCCTAACTCTTCCACCCCCACTCCTCGGCTGGAAGGGGCCTTGGCTTGGCCTGTGGCTATCATCCACCTCTCCTTGACTTCCCTTTGCTCCCCGTCAGTCCCACCCCCAGTGGATTGGGAGAACTTGCTTCTGTGCTCCCCCGACTATTAGTGGGCATGTTCTCCGTTCTGCTCCAACTTGAGTGTAGTTTGACTGTCGGCATGGTGTCCCTCCCCGGCTCCTGCCACTTCAAATATCACCGTTGCCTTTCTGAAGAAGGTAGGGTGTACCCTGGTGTGGTTAAGGCCACCTCCACAGCTAGTCTTCCAAAATATTCCTTGGGTTCAGTCTCAGCCTTTCACTGTATCGCTGCCATGACAGCTGAGGCTGTCCTGGAGCCCTGCACCAATCACAGGCCTGTACCTGGACCAATCACAGGCCAGCAGCAGCTTTAAACATAGTGAGGGAGTGCTCCTTCCAGTGTACTACACCCCTGTGCTGACTACAGGCCCTGTTAAAATAACAGCTCATTTGGTGATTATATAAACCACTCTTGATTTATTTCTTGGGTAGTATGAGCTCAAAAAGTCCTGTAAATCAGCACAGGATTCTCATTGTCGATAGCGTGAATAGAGCAGTGGGTTCAAAAGAAAGAGCAATAAACACCAGGACCTATTACCACTGAAAGAGCTCCAGAGACCAGCATCCAACACAGATCAGCAGGACAAGCCAGCACCAGGCATCAGGACCACTAGCAGAACTATATTTTGCTTGATTCCCATCTGAATCAAGAAAAGGAACCATAGATGGATTAGAACATCTCACCCGTACAACTCACAACCAACACTCTCCTGACAAAGGCCAGATTAACAAGAGAAAAACAGAGCAGATTTATTTAATCAGAGATGCGTGTAACAAGGACCCTTCAGAAATGAAGACCCAAAAGACTGAGGGAAAAGTATCCTTTTGTACACTTAAATTTGAGGAAGAACCACAGCCGTGTAGAGATGTAGCTGAGCAAAAGGGTACGGTCGAATGTAGTAGGGGAGCCCAGCAAGCCCTGGCTGCTCAGGTGCTTGTGGGCCTCTGTGTGCACAGCGTTCCTTCCCTTCAGGGATAGTGAGGCTCTTATCGGGTAAAGTAGACCAGAGAATTTTCAGAGCCTTCCCAATAAGCTGTATCCCCAGACCATTTATTTATTTACACAGAGGGTCTTGCTAAATCTCTAAGCTGCCTAGGCAGAAAGATTGGGAAGTTTGGAATAACTGTGTAGATTCCTTGGCTGGTTTAGGGGGAGAGGTGATATCACGTAAGGTAGACAGACATAGAAGACAGTACTATGGTACTAGATTTTTGCAAAAAGAAAAGGCTTTTTTTTCTTCATCGCCAACTGGATAGAAGGCCAGGAGCTGGTAAAAACCCCAGTATGCCTCCCCACCCGTTGGTAGCAGAGCAATTTTTAAGAAGGGGAGAAGTTGCTTGTGGGTGGGAGAGAGAGAAGGGGAGCTCAAGGTGTGTGTGTGTGTGTGTGTGTGTGTGTGTGTGTGTGTACAGGTACAAACGATCATGGTCAAACATTTCTTTTCATGGGGATTTATGATGTTCTTTCTTCAGGAGAGATTTTGAGCTTGTGACATCAAGAGGTCATTGAATGGACAAGCTGGGTCCTTTGGGCTTTTTTTTTTTTTTTTTGGCAGTGCTATGCACTGAGCTGCATCCACAGCTTTTATTTTTCAAACAGGGTCTCATTAAGTTACTCAGACTAGGCTCAAACTTGCCATCCTCTTGCTGTAACATCCCAGGGTTCTCAGAGTAGAGGCATGTACCGCCGAACCTGGCTGCCAGTCTATTCCTGAACAGCTTGACCCAAACGTCCGGTGGATTCTGGAGTCTGACCCTGAGAGACAACTTGAGCACTTGTTTACTTACGGAATTTATGTCTGCATGTATCCAGCCCTTAGCTAATTTCAGAGGGGCTCTAATTTTACGACACACCTTGGGGAAGAGGAGTTACATTTTTTGCTGTCTTTCTTGGGGAAGGGGAAGCTACACAAAGACGAGCAGGCAAAGGTGAGGAAGAGACTTTCCTGCTGAGTTCCACGCTAGCTCACTCATTGTAGTGCTGGCATGCCAATGCGCCATGCTTTCAGTACCACCTTCCGAACACCAACAAAGTGAATCGATAGAATTTGGTTAAGTAAAAGGAAAAACATTGATTAAAATTGAATGTCAAGGGTAAGAAATGAGGCTCTGAGGCGCAGATGTTGTATCTCTCCCTCCTGCCTGTTGTCTCACGTACACTGACAGAGAAGGAATGGATTTAAAACCGAAAAAGACAACAGCACACTTTGTAATCTAAGGGTCCTGGCAAGGAGCGTGGAGTCTGACTGGCACAGAGATGCGGTCACTATTCCTGCATCTGAGAGACAAAGGGCATCTCATGGGGCCTCTCTGACAATTCTTTTTCCTGCCGATTTCCAGGAAAGGAATATATATATGCAGATACTTTCCCTTGAGCATTTTTTTGGGTGGTGAAAATCCACTGTCAGTATTCTCATTCAAAGCAGACTTTCCCCAAGGCCACACACAGCCAGCCTGGCAGCGGGGACCTGGCGCCACGCCTTCCTCCCCTACCCTCAAGATGCCTCCTCTTCGCAAATTAAACTGGCGTGAGGAAGAGAGCAGTCCCAGGGCACAAAATCTTCACAATGTAAGCACCACATACCACATAGAGCTCACTGAGTCACTTTGCATATGGGCATCTGCCTCAAATTAGAAATACTTGTGAATGGAATACCACAAATGTCTTTGAAGTTCATTACTATAGAAAGTTATGCACAAAGGGGGTCTTTTCCTTGTTTGCATACAGCGTGCTACGGTCTCACAGAGAGACTAAGGGAAGTAGAGTAACTGCTCTGGTTTATATTATGAGATGGCTCAGCAGATGAAAGGATTTCGTGCATTGAGCCACTCTGCCTGTGTTATTACCACCAAGGCAGACTTTGCAAAGAGTAAATCAAGTTAATCTGCCAGAGCCCTGGGTTATATACATGGAGATCATTACACGAGACAATCCCGTGCTTCTGGGAAGATTCAAGTTTGCAGAGGACTGTAGGACCTCTGAGCCTATTTACAGGCTATGTTGTTATAAGTCTTTGTCACACCTTCTCTTCTTATAAGAGTTTAATGTCTTTATACTTGCTTAATGGGCAATTTTCTGACATTTAGTATACTAGGAACCTACAATTTGGAGGGCCTCAAGGCAAAAAGCAGATCAGCAGAGTTTAGAAGAGAGAGACTAACACACAGGTCAGATAAAACAGTCAAATACGAACTTCTGAACACTCAAAACTTAATTGTTTTAAACATCCTTGTGCAGGCCAAAATAAGTAAATAAATGAAGTGTACAGGTGGCATTGTGTTTAATGTGTCTCAAGGTGGAGAAACCAGAGAACCAGGGCAGAGAGTAAATGGGGAAAAGACGTGACATAAACGCAGATGCCACCAAAGGTATTTTGTACACACTCCTATCCGTACTTGGGTTCCTTTGGTCATTTTTCTGTTACAATGGGAGCCGGAAAGCACATGTTTTAGGAAACATTTATAGTGAATGATATGCTTTTTTCCAGCCCTGTTTCCCCTTTTAAGACTTTTTATAATAGTTCTTATGCTCTACTCTTTAAATATGTCTATGGCCTGTTGAATGCCCTTAGAGACCAACTTTATCTGAACAAATAGAAAAGTTTGTAATTTAGTAGAACCCCTTCCACTTGAAAGCACAGCAGCAGAATTCCTCAAGCTCCCTGGTGGGTTTTCCTGGCTTGAAAAGCTGCCTCAAATGCAGTGTGTGCTTCCCTTAAGGGTTTCATGGAAGTTGACAAGGAAGGACACGTCCTTAGTAGCCTTTCTCCACCTTCACCTGGGCCCACCAAGCTACCTACCAAAGCAGATGGAGATTAGTGAGCACCCTTTTAACACTGGTGTGAAGCTGCAAGCAGAGCTTCGAAAAGAACAGAATAAGACCACTTTGGTCATAAACACTTAGATCACTGTTCGTCTCTGGTCCCTGATGTGCTTTTATGACAGCTATTCTCACCTGGCAGGTATGAGTAGGCACAGACCTTCAGAAAGGCGGTTTGGTGTGTGTGTGGCAGGATAAAGGAGAGAGAAGTGTGTGGGAAAAAAGAAACGAGTAGACTGCAAAAGCTAAGCAGAAGTAGCCATAAGGTAGACTTGACAATATTCGCATAACCCCCACTGCTAAGGTAAGAGTAAGACCTGACTTACAGTGTGTTAGTGTTCCCAGCGAATTTCCAGACACATCCAGTCACCTCCTGACTTGATCCCTCTACTGCCTTCATTGCCATGTATTCCTTTAAGAGGTCACAGTATCACTGGATGGTGTCTGAGGTCATCAGTTTTCCGTAGAGGTGAAGGGGTCCTCCACTTGGCCTATTGAAGTAGGTTTTTGACTTGCATTACGGAAAAAGAATTTCAGGAAGCATCAGTGTGAGGCACAGGTAGGTTTATTAGACAGAATTAGAAGTTCTGAGGAAGTAAAAGGGCCCCAGCCTGAGTAACTGGAGGTAGCACACTCTGGAGCAGGGGTTCAGACTGGTTTGCTTACCAAGGCACAAGGCCAGCTTTTCAGGATTAGCTGAGATGCTCCAGGGTGCAGTCAACCTTTATCTCGGTTCTGGTTTTGTAGCTCCAGAGGAATCCTTTTGACTTAAGGGATAACTTGATTTCCGAGAGATGATTGCTGTTTGGAAAGGGGTACTGCCTAAGTTCCCATAATGGGCTAATTACTCCTTGGAGGTAGATGAGCTCATCACGGGGCAGTCTGCAAGGCTCTGCTTTTCCTAGAATCTGCTGGAACTGTAGGTTTGAGACTTCTAGGTGTCACTCCAGGGGACATCGTGAAAGCTGGCAACTAGCTGTCCTTACAACCCCCCAAGTTACCTTAGTTACTCTCATCTTTGTGTCCTCAGCCTTGAAGTGGGATGAAGTAAACTAGGTAAATCTGGGGCTAAAAGTTTTGCAATAAAGACACTCCATAACTGGTTAGCATGCCGAGGCGAAGAGCTGGGGGGGGGGGGGTCCTGACCCAGGCTTTTATGATAATAAGAGATAAAAAATTGTGTCCTTTCTACCTATATTTATTTAATTCTCTTCTACCTCAAAAACGTCCCCTATTTGTAATTTTACAAAGTTATGATTCTCAAGTATTTAGCAGCCACTTTTCAAAAATGCATTTACTTTATTAAGGAAACCAGCAGGATGACAAAGTATGGCCAAAGACAGGGGAAACTGCAGTGGATCGTCAGTGGAAGGACTGTAGTCATAACATCACCAACTATTTTTGTTTTTGGTCCCACCACCACCACCAGGAATTGAACTTGTGACCTTGTGCTTGCCAGGCAGGTGCTGTGCCGCTGAGCTAAATCCCCAGCCCCATCACCAACTATTGATACAGGAAAAATGTAACTCCCGGCTGCTTGGTCTCACAACATTGAGAATGAAGTCCTGAACAAAAGGAGGAAAATAGGAGAACTTTATCTCAGATAGAGGAAGAAAAGTAGCTCCTGGAAGTCCAGCACAATGAGTGGCCACCTGAATAAGTAGCCGCCCAGACCCTTTGTCAGGGGCAATTTACACAGCAATATCACAGTGTGGGTACAACATGGGAGACAATCAACCTATAGGGTTACAAGCATAGCTGCTTAGCTAATATTGATCCAATAGGGAAACAAGTCATGTAGCCAGGGTACAGGACAGAACAAAGGCATTTTGGGGAAGGGAGGGGATATGGGTCTCCACGTTCTGATCACCCACCTGATGCCTGTCTGGGCTCACTAGGCCAGCCGTGTTATTACCGATAATCTCAAGTTGTTGTTTATCTTGCAATCCTGGCTATTGCATCTCCAGCCTGAGCCCCGACTCTTCTCAGATTCGCCTTCAGCCATAATTCTGATGTCTTTGCTGTTATTTTGTCTACAGGACAGATGTCATTTTCATCTCTACTAAGCCAAGATCATTTGCAACTTTTTGATCTTCTGCCAGATACCGTCTACCTCTGCCATGCCTGGATCTTTACCAATACTAACTCAGACAAGTTAGATGACTTACCAGTGCCGCAGAGACTTGAGTAACTATCGGTATCACCTGAGACTGTTACAGCTAACTGCTGGACCATACCCCAGATTTTCCCATTCAGTGGTCAGAGCTGATGCCCGAGAACTGATACTGCTAAAAAGTTGCAGGTGACGCTTCTGCTGATAGTAGAGAAACCAGCACTGGCTACTACTGTCATAGTATGACACTGAGAAGGCTTGCAGAAATATTTCTGTCTATTTTCAAGTATCAACCTATGTTGGGATAAATTATGGAAGTTTTTAAAATAAATTAACAGGATTATTGGATATCTTTGATGGAAAACTAGGCATGGTCTAATTCCAGATTTTCTGAATCACTGGGGTTTTCACCTTTCATTGTCTTTGAGCAATTCAGAACTCTGTAATCTGTAGATAACTAATAGCATTGCAAATGATGCTTACCCATAGACATGCGAATAACTTCTTGCAGGTGGGAGGACAATTGATTTCCCTCTCCCACCCTCTGCCCTCACCCCTGTGCAAAAAGCCATGTTCCAGTTATTTGTAAATTCATTCCCAGGATTTATTTGCATATACAAACATAGTAACATGATATATTTCTATAAATTTTCCTCTGAACTAGTTGCCACACTGCACTGGTTCCTACAGCTAGTGTGTTAAATAAAATCTGTGCCACATGTTTACTTTATATTGGTATATTTGTATGACTATGCCTTCTGTTTTAAAAAATCACTTAATAGATACGTTTTCTTAAAAGTAATCCCCAAGTTGGGAATTTCACTTTCTCATTGTCTTCAAATAAGTGGCTGCCTCCTTCTCATAGAGTTAGCTTGTGGCTTCTTTATTTCCTCACATTTAACAGTCGGCTTTCAAATTTAGTCTACTGGGACACTGACCAGACTGGGACCCTATGGATTCCAGCTGCCTGTTTCCTTTAGCAATAACACAGCTGCTCCTATTTTCTAAACCCCTCTTCACTGTTGTCATTATCTAACAGAGTTAATTTGTATTTACTCTGTTCAAAATGCATTATTTAGGGGGTTAATTCAGCCATTTGTGCTCTTCAGGGTGTTGACCTCAGTTCTTAAATAGCAACAGCAAAAGCACAAGTCATGTGCTACCTGTTTGAAAGCCTGGAAGCTCTGCTAGACACGTGCGGTGTGAGCAGCAGTGTGGTTCTGTGTGTGCCAACATAGAATCCTTTCAGCTTCTGGGTCGGCAGGAAATCCTTGCCGGCTGGTCTGGTCACAGATATTTTAGGATCTAAGTTCATGACCCTGGATGCTGCCCAACTTTTGATCGGAACTGCTTCCTTCCAATGGAGCATCTGTGTTCTATAAGAGGAGCTCTGATTCTCTGCGTAGCCCCTGGAAGAAGCCCTTCCTGGGCCCCTCAGCCCTGGAAATCATAACAGACCCCTGTTTGACTCCCACAGCTCCATTCTTCTTCCATAAATTCTCAGCAACTTTATTTGGAAGATCTAACATCCAGTTCTACCCAGGAACTATCAATTGTGATGTCACTATTTCCCACATGACCGCAAAATGCTATAGGTTGTGTTGTGGGGAGGACAGGCTGGGTTCACTCCATGTAATTATTACATGCCAAAGAAGAAATGATACTATTTACTTTAGGGAAATAAGGCCTTGAATTTTTGAACTAATTTTCTCACAGTTGTTACTATGTATGAAGTCTTCCTGATTACCATTTATTCTTTCTACCCCAAGAACATATGCTTTCACAGAAAACACAGTCTGCTCTCCAAAGTCACCAGCTCTGCCTCTGCAGACAATGAAAAGGAGATGGAGTATTTGAAAAGCAGAATTTTGCCTATGCTGAATATGTGCCCTTTTCTTATTATAACAGTTGTCTTACTATATTGTTTACGGCATAGGACAATACAGTATAACAACTTCTATATGTCATTTATACTGCATTAGGTATTATAAGTCATAAAGACAAAGTAATAGGTTAATAGGATAATAGCTTATATGCAAATGCTATGTCATTTTTTAAGAGATGTGGAAATTCACAGATTTTGCTCTCTGTGGAGTATCTTAAACTCTTCTTCTCATGAACATCAAGGGCAACTATATTCCTAGCATAGCATATTTTAACTAACACTTTACAATAGTTTTCAAAAGAGGGTATAGATCACTATGGATCACCTTAAAATTACATTAACATAAAACTGCTCCCTCAACATTTCCTTAGGGCCCAAGGGTTCTCAGATATAATCAGGTTACCTGTGTTCTGACACATCTGCTCAATCTCCAGTTGCCAGTTATTTTCTATGTAGTCAGCAAAAGGAAGATGCAATGATAGAGTTTTTAAATGAGAATAAGAAATAAGGTGTCACATGTTGTTTATCTGAACTCCAAATTTAAATGGACAGTCTGCACTTCATTTACTAAAGCTGGAATCCCTAGTAGGGATAATTTATTGTCCAAGTATATCTGGAGAGAAGAGGTGGGAATGGGGGGTTGAGGGCTGCACAAGTATTGCAGATCGTACCAGGCTCTGATCTACCACTTCGGCTGTATGCTCAGGCGCACTTTCTCCTGTGAGCTTTCACTCATTCAAACACTGGACACCATCTCTGGCCCCAGAGATCGCCACTCAGTGCCAGCTAGATGCTTACTTACTACTCAGGGTGCAGAGGGAGGTGGCTTTGATCAGAGCAGAAATGTTTTCAGCTGCCCTGATTACTGTCACCTTTTTGCCTGGATTCAGCTTCCTAATGAGTTCCTGGAATCCTCTCTGCTCCTCAGGCCTTGCTATCAGTCCCAACTCCCTAATTCCCCAAATATTTTCACTCTTGAACATTTTTGCATCTGAGCTACTGTCAAGCCTGCTAGGTTTGCACAAACACCCTTATCTAAAAAATAAACATGTGCCTCAGTGACAAGCAGTCACTCCACAGAGAGGTTGCATGATCAGTACTTGAATTACAATGTTTTAATTCTCTTCCACATAGGAGAGCAGTAAAGTTTATATAAAGCTGGAGAAAACAAGGCTCAAGAGAGAAGACTGAAAAGTTAGGATTAAACATCTTGAAAAAGAGCTGTTTTAGACACAACCAGTTAACAATGCACTAAAAGCTAAAATTAGTGTTAGCAAGGAGTTCTCCATCTCCCATAATCCTGTTTCTAGAGAGAAATATCTGGTTATTGAATAAGAGAGCTTGATCACTTGTGTCAATAGCCCTCTTGAGCTTGTGTATGCCAAAGGGGTCATATTGAGAACAAAGTGACACTCGGGTATTATAAGCATGTGCCTCCTCCCAACAAAATACTTCCAGCATCTGAGGTTACAGGTGCATACCAGTTCTGGAAATTTCTTGAGATGCCTTATTGATAATATCCAGTTGACAAAACTTTAGTCAGGGTCCCATGAGTCTTCTAGTTGGAAAGACCTGAAATTAGGCTTTCCTTTCTGTCCTTGAAGAATCAAGTTTGAGCAAGATTGCTGATAAAACAATGTATCAGATGTTCCTCATCCTTGATATCTGACCACCCCCTAAGTCATAGCATTCTACCTGCCCTTAGCAGTTCTCCTGTCAAGACATTTTAGCCTGAAAGTCCTTATCCTTAACGTTTCCTTTTAGCAATTTTTCAGGCACTAATCCCTCAATACTATACCTTAGTTATAAACCCCAACCACTTTTATAAGAACTGAGTCCAAACTCTGCCCCAAGATAAGACCCCATTGCATTGATTGCTATATCAATCAACATGGCCTATCATGAATACAGTTAGCCTCACCATCTTTAACAAGTGTTGTGAATAATTTTATTCTTTAACACACTAAAGATAATTGTGAATAGCATCTCCCAAATTTTGTGCTTTGTAAGAACTTGGGTATTATATCTATCAGATCTCTGTAGATTAGAAGTGTTCTGTCCTGAATCACCCCAGAGTCAGGAACTGGACACTAAGAAACAACCCTTGCATTCCAGTGCTTACTAAAGACATTCAAACAAGCCAGTACACTTCCCACTGAGTGGCTTGCCATTCTTGGCCAAGTACTTCTCGTGGAAAGCATTAAAAAGGCTCTACCTGTTTTCCATTTACTCCTTCCCCTAAACAATCCTGATATTTCTTTACATGACTCTCTACAGCCCCCTCATCTTAACTCTGAGTAACAAACTATCTTCCCAAGGACAATATTCTCCTAATCTTTATGCATGACTATATAAGAATATAAACAAATCTGGAAGGTGTGGAGGGGAGCACATCCCTAGCTCTAGTCTTTTAAAAAATTGCAAATTTTGAGAGGACCAAGATGGTGGAGTGGCACTAAGCAGAGAAAGAGACTCTCTGAAAGTCACCATCCACACACTGGAATATAGCAATAGGTGAAAGACAAGAAGGAGGGAAGTGGGTCTCCTGAACCCTGGAAGGATCTGAGGCACAAATTAAAGCTGACAGAGAGAATGAAGAGAGAAACTTCAATGAAGACGAAGCAGGTAGCTGGTGGCACCTTCTCCCTGAAATGGGACTCACTACGTGAGAGGAGTGATTCAGATCTGCAGACACGCAGTGACTGCTGGTGACCCCAGAGGCTCCATGGAGAGACACAGCAGTAGAGGGGAGCAGTGGACATGAAGAACTGCACTAGCTGGTGGTGAGTGCTGAAGGATCAATCATCCCATGAGAAAGCTATTGGCCACAAGCTATCTTGGAGAGGAACCAGCTGAGCTCAGAACTCAGAGAGGCTGCTGGCCCCATCCAGTAGTCCCCAGCTGAGCTCAGGCACCACATAGAAGGTGCACTGACAGCTACAGGCCAAATGAGTCTGGTCTCAGCCAGAAGGTGCAGGCTTGTTGAAATTATTCACTACCCTACCAAAAAGCTACTGCTGGCTTGCTGGGATAGATCACCATGGATCAGGACTCTGTCTCAATATGCTGTCTACCAGTGACAAAATAGATAAACCTGGAAGTGAACATTTTTCTTCTTTCTCTCTCTTGTATGTTTTGTTGTTGTGGTGGTGGTGGTTTTGTTTTAGTTTTGCTTTTTCTTTTCTCTCCTTCATTGTTTGATCTGGTTTTCATATGAGTGTGAATGAGGTCTCTAGCCCCTTCATGCTTATGATTCTGTTCTGTTCTTTTTATATCTTCCTTCTCTCGTTTCCTCCAGTCTTCTGCACCAGTTTCTAAAAGTTACTGTGATTTTCCTTTGTCCTCCAGCCCTACTTCTAATCTCTTTTCTCTTCTTCCACTTCACTATTTTCTCCCTAATCCATTTTAAACTTTAACTCCTGAGGACAAAATTGACATATTAAGGACTTGTATACTGCATACAATTTTTTGTTTTGTTTAAGATTTTGCTATAGGGGCTGGGGATTTAGCTCAGTGGCAAAGCACCTGCCTGGCAAGCGCAAGGTCGTGAGTTCGGTTCCTGGTACCGGAGAAAAACCAAAAAAAAAACAAACAAACAAACAAAAAAAACAAAACAAAACAAAACAAAAAAAGATTTTGCTATATAACCAGAAACCTAGTTCATATGGTTAAAGGTGGCAAATTAATGGTTACCTCAGTTTGTCATTTCCTAGGCTGTGTTTGATGCAATTTTCATTGGTACCACTATAGCCAAGAGATTATAATTGTTCTAAGCAACTGTTTTTCCTAGTATTCCAAGATGGAGGTTGACTAATGGTCAAGGAAATACTGTGACACAGTGCCAAAGAACCAGGGACTGGACCAAACAGGCAGTAACTTCTCATCCCCAACAAATTGAAGAGGTAGGATCTTGCAACATACTCAAAACCTAAAAGCCAGCTACACCTGGAAGATAACTTAGAGAAGTAGTCATTTCCTAAGGGTTGTAAATACAAGCAATAAAGCAAACCACCCCAGGCAATTTACAAATATCACCCCAGAAATTAAACTAAAAAAAGAAAAGAAAATGAGAATACACTTTAATAACAACCCAGACATCCAGTTCACCAAAGGCAAATCCAGAGGGCAAGGAAGTGAGACAATCCAAAAGCTACCCGTATGGCCTCTCTGAAGTGGTAACAACAAAGTAATTGAATGAAACTGTAGAAAAAATCAAATCAGAAATAATTTCTCAGATAAATGCAGGGATGGTGTCCACAATGAAAACCATGCTTAGTGACTCTAGAGCAGATACAGACAAAAAAAAAAAAAAAAAAAAAGAGCTTAAGAAAATGGTGGAAACCATGAATGCTCAACATAGGAAAAAAATGGAATCCATAAGGCAGACTCAAGTAGATATCCAGGAGAATAAAAATTCCATCGAACGTATTCACACCAGATTAAGCCAAAGTGAGGACAGGATCTCAGATATAGAAGAAAAGCTTGCAGTTAACCATCATAAAAAGAAAGATTTCTTAAAAATAGCAAGGGACCATGAGAAATCAATACAGCAGCTGCAAGATGAAGCAAAGAAGAATAACTTAA